TACCTCAGCCAGGATTCGAACCTCATATTTAAAACGTGAATAAATATAATGGAGATTATTTAAACGCGTGTTAAACTTCAGAGATCGGTTAGTTTATACAGATTAAACAATTCATTTTTACATGCAATAAAAGTTTGCGGCATCAACGACAGATTGTTGGCAAATTTATTCGCATTCGCGGCTTGGATGTTCAATAACGTTACACGTCACGTTTCCGCGGTGAAGTATCGTCGCGTGAGAACGAGAGATTTCGGTGGTAACGGTATTTTTTGACTATATGGAATGACAAATTGCATTACTTAAATTGTTTGTCGTGTTGGTCGCACGTGTAGCGATATAACTCGGTTTACTACTAGAAATATTTTCGCTAGTTTCAATAATAAAAAGGACCGCTAACACAAAAATTCCCCGATATCACGGGAATTAAACTCGCAGTCGTGCTCGTTAAAGTAATTACACGCTTCGATTTGCGAGAAAATAAAAAATTGGTTTTTTTTACAGGATATAAAAATTACTAGTCCGGCATGCGTACAATATGTAAAGGGAAGATATTTCCCGTACGACTAATTCATATATCGGCCCTTGATGCGATTTTTATACGACTCTTTTTTTTTTCCTGCCGCCTAAATCATGACAGATGATAGAGAATTATTGCTCCGCCATGTATATCGTCGCTTTACTTCGGCGTGCCGTTGTTTTTACCGTGGAAACGTCAGTCCCCGTTGCCGTTTGCGAGACCCGCGTTTTTGTATCGCGGCTGCCCATAAATCAGAGCGAAACAAAATGGGCTATACGTAACGCTCCGTTTCGACGGTCGAATCGGATATCACGGAGCCGTGGCAAGGCGCGGGTGAACTCGGCACGGACCCAAAAATTAGTTGGCGGATCGGCTCCAAGGAGCACAATCGTAATCATTTCTGACCATATGTCGGCTACAGTTAGAAATCATCTAGCACGTGCGTTCTACTTCCGCTTACGCGATCCGCGAACGGTAGAACGGCGTGTAATCGCGAATGATGCATGTAGCTTAATGCGTGTTTACTTTGTCAACAGCCGAATCGTCAGCAGCGCGTACGCGAAGTTTAACGGTGCGCGACATGGACGTGGCAGTCGCTGCGAGAGCTTGTGAGATAAACATGTTTTTACATCGATATATAGATATTGTGTATTACAGTTTCGATAAATTCGGCGAAGGCAGGCCGATAGCATCGATGACGGGCGTGATTTTATCAGCTCGCTGAAACAATTGGGCAGTTCGCGTAAGGTCTAATAAAGCGAAGTTCCGCAAACGTAACAAAGCTGCGTCGCGTCGAACACGCACAATGCTGCAGATTGGGTTCGAATGGAGTATCGGCGACCCCGATATGATACACGTGGCAGCAAATAAATCGGGGATGACCTCGAGCTTACACCGAGGGTCGGAAAGCCGGGAGAGCGCGCGAGCTTGTTTCATTTCGGCGACACGAGATTCGCTCGATTACCAGGCCGCGGATAAATTACGAGCTTAACGCGACAGAAGCCGCGTGCGATCGGAAGCTATCTGGACCAGAGGCGAATCCGTAATCGAAATTCAAACTTGAAATCCCCCGCCGTCGACGGATCCACGTGAAATAACGTCGGGCGGAAATATTTCCGACTTTCTTGCATAGGCAACATATCGAGACCAGCGAGAGACTTAAGCGAGCATAAAATGTACGCTAGCTTTTGCGCATAATTATTCTAACGCGACGTTAAATTATCTCTCTTATTCTTCGCAGAATACAACGGCGAAATTTTATTGTAGATTTAATTAAACGCTTTTTAAATTAAAAACTTCCCACATTAAACAAAAATAAATGCAATATTGTTCGTATCCTCAGTGGCTTTAATTTGCCTTTCGACCGATTACGCATCGCGCGCAAAAAAAAATGAGGGAGATACATTGTTATTCGCACGTTGCATCGAGGTATCCGCGTGTGCACATGCACACATACCCTCGGGTCGCGTTCGCCAATTTAGCGAGGCTCTAAAGTTACGTGCCCGCCATACAGGCGCGCTTAAATCCATATAAATACCCAGGCTCATGAATCTATCCATTAATCAGATTGGCGATAGGAGCTCGACGCCTGAGTGATTTCCACCCTCTCCGCCACCCACCCCGGATGTTTCTTTTTTCTTCCGCGAGCCTCTTCGCAGGAATGCCTCCAGCACGGCTGGCTCCAGAGGTCACTAGAAGGTGGCAGCACTTCCATTAAAATTCGACACGAACCTTCTGCGAGAATCCGATGTGTGCTGTACATACACGCACACACACACACACACACATACGTGTATATACGTATACATATATGTAAGTATGTACGTATACGCGCTTAGGTACCAGTCGCGCTGGGAACGTACGACCCCCGGTGGCACGAGCGAGTGCACGGATTCATGTGTATAGGTGCGAAGTCGGGGAGGACTTGGCCTGCGTTTCGTGGATTGTGAGAGGAATATCGTTTAGTCGCCGTCCTGCCCACCCCCTTAGAGCGAAGGGTTGAGGAGACGTGCGCGGAAGTGCCGGGGCCAATTTCGATTGCCCGTTGTGGCTCCTGCTGCTTACGATGACGTTTCCAATGTTCGCTAACGAATCTTCGTAATTACGCGGATTTACCTCCTCCGCTACCTCACGATCAGTGACCTGAATTTTTTCCAGGCCTTACGTTTTCACGATGATTAACAGGAAAAACGTTCGATCCGTTTGTCGTCATTTCCAGTTGCTCTACAACTTTTCTAAATGTCGATATCAAGTCTTCTGGCCCGAGCACACAAAAAACTGAAGCAGTAAAACTATAGTATAATAATTAGTAGTGCGCACTAGTGCAGGCAATCGAATTCGCTATAAGGCTATGGTACGTATACGCACACACGTCGCTGAATCCTGCCCGGGTGCATAGCGGAATACCACGTGATCGGGACCGCAAAGATCAAAGGGGCCGGCAGAGAGTGGACCTACTAGTTATACTATGGTAAAACTTAAGACTTAAGGGAAATGATCAATGACTGCCGAGAACGTGAGCAGCCATTTTGAAACTGAAGCAATACTGAAAATTCTGATTGGTTGAAATTCTTAAGTCTTAAGTTTCTTCGTGTGTTTCCAGCTGAACCGAGTCGCGAGTTAAGGTCTCAGCTAAAAAAAAAAGTGAATCGGTAAATTGAGAACAGAGGACGTTGGCTATTCTACGACTTGTTCTCCAATTGTTCTCCAATTGTCGTTCGATAGGTTTAAGTTACACTTCGCGATAAAATACCGAATCGGTCGTTTTAGTGCACTTCCATGCATTTACGGCCGCGATATGAATAATGAATAATCCTGTGACTCTCTTGAATGCGCGTGCGTCGCCATTTGCTCGATCTCAAAGAGTCACGCGGTTTTCTTTAATGTCGTCAGCGCAGTAGCGAGGGCAAAATTTATCTCCGTTGACGAATTATTCGCGCAACTGCGAGAGGCTGCTACATTAAGTAAGCTTACGATTTTCGCGAGCTTGCATGCTAACGATGCTCTTCATACGGTTTGTTATGTACCTTATCTATAGAACTGTGTAAAGTTTACACTGTAAAGTAACTTAGCCATAGCTGACATTACACGTTTCAACGTTCGCCCGTGCAATTTGATCTTTTTGTTCTGTGCAGCTTTAAACTCGTGCAAATTAAGTCTACGGCTTAATGTTACTCGAGATGTACGAAACATACTTTCCCTCGATAAATTGAAGATTTAAATTAATAAAAACTTGAGAAGATTACGTGACCATGTTTGGCAAATTTTTCTGTTTAAACTCACAACGTTTCGACCATGGTTTGTGGTCCTTCTCAAGCCATAATTGTGTCAATATTCCGTACGGTAAATCAAAAGAACAGATCTTAATTTTACCGTACGGAATATTGACACAATTATGGCTTGAGAAGGACCACAAACCATGGTCGAAACGTTGTGAGTTTAAACATAAAAATTTGCCAGACATGGTCAAGTAATCTTCTCAAGTTTTAATTTCTTCTGGCGACTTACCATATAAGATTCCCTCCAGTTATTATAATAAATTAATAAATTGATAGATTTCGCTGCTTCATCGATCCTGTTTATCGCGCGAATAATTCCATCTTTCAACACGTTCCACTTTGGGCCGTGTAAGTCGTTACTTTGCCATTTCCTCTTCCAAATCTAGGCGTATCGCGTTCAAGGTTACGCCCCGCATGCAAATTTGCGATTACTTCGCGCAACTGTCGTCCATCTCTCCCGCGAAACTGCCGCAAATTTATCGGCTTCAACGACAGAGGGGGGCGTGAGACGTACGAGCGTCGATTTGTCGACGGTGAGAATTATATGGAATAGCGTGGACCAAATCCGTGGAGGGCCGGACGATTATCTCGCGAGGGCCGCGGACGGCGCAGAGCGTACGACGTTCGGTTCCCGCAACGACAAACGGGTGATCCCCGAACGCAATTTTCCCGCCGTGTGTGTTACGCCACGACATTAATTTGCATCCTCGGTAATCCTCAATTTACAGCCCCAACGAGTTTTATGGAAGTAGGTAGCCAGCCAGCTGGGTAGGTACATAGCTAGGTAGGTAGGTAGGCAACAGCACCATTGGTAGTTTCGCATAGGAATTGGCACGGTGGTGCACTTACACTGCTAAGCGTAAAAGTGGTAAGTAGACGTAGGTACGCGGGAGAAAGAGCGAGATGGAGGATGAGGGGAGCGGCGGTGCAAGAAGGCGTAGGGGGGGTAGGGTAGGTGGCGACCGAGGGGGTTGGCGAGGGTGAGATTCGACAGACACTGTGGACAGGGACAGGGTAGGGGGCAGGGGTAAGGGCTGTGGCTGGGGCCGGATAGTCGGACCTGACCGAGAGGGAGGAATAGAGAGAGAGAGAGAGAGAGAGAGAGAACGATCGCCCTCGCCGGATGGTGGTGGGTGCCGGTGGGGCTGGTAGGGGCTGGAGGACTCCGGGACAACGTGTGGAGGGGGATGAAGAAGAGGGAAGAGAGGAGCGAGCGGAGGGACGGAGGTCGAGAGTCGAGGGCTGCCTCACTCTGCGGCTCCCGCCGCTCGGGAGCAGACACGCGGGGCCAAAAGACTAATTTGAACTATTTTATTAACAAAAACAAAAACATTACATATTTGTAAATAACACTACTAACAACTGTAAACACGAAACAGCGCAACAACACATTTCTCCTAAGGACTCTCTTTAAATCTTACCTTACACCTGTAAGACAACCGCCTGTAAAAAGAAAGAAGGGAAAGGACGGAGGGAAGGAAGACACGAAGTGAAAGAAGCGCACGCGGCCGGACAGAGAAAGAAATTGAGAGAAAGGGAGTGAAAGAGAAAGCGGGGGAGAATAGGAGAAGGAAAGAGCCGGGACGCGCGTACGACGAGGTAACTCCGGTTTTTTTTTCCAAAGTAGAATGTGTCATACGAGCGTGTACACATAAGCAATACACAGTAAAGAAGAAACAAGTTGCAAAAGAGAGTCGAACCGTAGAAAAATCTATTTTCTGAAGTTACTCCCCAGTCGGACTGGTGCGCGTCGCGGCGGAAGTGAAGAGGACGAGACGAGAGTATAAACGCGAGAGAGGGAGAGAGGGATCGCGAAAGGCGAGATCGTAAAAGAGAGCACGCATCGACTGCTACAGGACGGGATAATCGCATTTTAAGTTCTCTCTGTACTGTGTGACCCTTACATTATTTTGTCCCTCCGATAGGGACGGGTTCAGTGTTGTAACTTAGAATATAAGAAGACTAAAAAGAGCTGCGGAGCGCACAACAAAAAGATAGAAAGAGAGTGAAAGAAAGAGACAGAGAGAGAGAGAGAGAGAGAAAGAGAGAGAGAGAGAGAGGGAGGGAGAGAGAGGGAGAGACAGAGAGAGCAAAGGAAGATTTGGGATTCCGGAAGAAGAGAGAACTCGGAAGGAGAAGAATAGTGTATGGTTTGTGACTGGCAACGCGTCCACGTCGAGGAACGTTTGCGAGAACGAGAAGAGAGGACGGGAATCGCGAGCAGCAATCAACACGAGGGACGGGAGGAAGAAAACGTTCACGAAGGACGGCTCCGTCGTGTAGAGATACAGTGAAGCTCCAATTTTTTATACTAGAGGAAGAATCTGACAAAAAAAAAGCGTGAAAGAGAGAGAGCGAAAGCGAGAGAAAGAGAGAGAAAGAGAGAGAGAGAGAGAAAGAGCGAGAGAACAAGAGAGAAAGAGAGAGAAAGACTCGGGAGAATCAGGGAGAGTGCGAAAGGGGAGCGGAGGATTGATCCTGTCCGCGTTTCCGCGTGCACTTCCACGTGTGTCTTTCGATACGACAAAACTGCGACGAACTCAAATCCTGACGACTCGAGGTCTCCCATTCAGAGAAGAGATCTAGGAGAGTTGGGGTACCGAGACGGAGGAGTGACACGTTCGTGACACCGTCGATCGATATCCGGTCTCGAATAACATAATCCGGCTCGCGTGCACGCTTCCTTTGGGGGATATGTCCTGCCGTTCCAGAGGGAGTCGTCGTCATCCGGGAGCGCAAACTTCGCAACGTCGAGAACAACGTCAATCCGAGTGCCGTCCCTGCGTCCTGGACCCCGCGGCCGGCAAGCTGTCCTGACGAAAAAAGGACCGCCCCCTCAGCTCGTCCCAATCGAAACAGCGCGAACATCGACGAACAGCAGTCATATCAGATACGCGATCGTCCCCCGGGCACGCGGACCCGTCGCGAAAAAGGGCCCGTCCGGGGATGCCCGCCAGGGCCCAGCTACGTTCCGGTCTCGCGTACGTTCAAGGACGATGACGATCGGCCAAGACGATCGGTAAGATCCAGGCAGCGCGAACACGCGCCAGCATCACCGAGATGGCGGGCTACAATCATTCGAACCCACAGCGTGTCGTCTACCACGCGACCTACCCGACGCCCCTCGCTCCAAGTGAGTTTATCTGCTGTTTATGCACCCGGTGTAGAGAATCCCGCAATATTTGACACGACATGTCACTCGTTGGATCACACGGCACGTACCATGGTCTTCCGATACCTTCGCTTTATCACGAGGGTTGGAGTTTATCTCACATCATTTGATATCAGTCGAATTGGAGAGGGTGTAAAAGTTCTTGATTGATTCTCATTTTATAATGCAGAAGGAGGTAAATTCTATGGATTTCTAAAGAAGGTAAAATCCATAGGTTTTTTTAGAGGAACGAGAAATTTCTTGCTCCTTCTCGCTTCTTTCTTCGCACGAGAATCGAGTATTAGGTGAGATTTGTCAACAATGCGCGCCTTCGAACAGTCTTGTTTCATTTCAGCAAATTGTGTGACTTCTAAGATTTGCGTTATGTGAACTGTCAAGTTTATAAATGACTTCAATTCCTATGATTGTTTTACATTTTCAAGTATAATACTTGAAATACATAAACTGAAAACCAAGTTTTAACTAGATCAACACTGTTTACACTATTTTTATAATGATTTTTAACTAAATAACATTGCAACGTTAAAGTTCCAGACAAGGATCGCTTTTACGAAATTCGCCATAATGAAATTTAAGAGATCGCGGTGACTGCACTTAAGTATCATACTTATGATTGAAAGTTTAGTTAATGGCGCCTAGTTTCGGAGAGTTTCGCGAATCAATGAATATTACATAGACCGTAGGCGAACGAAGCGCCATTAAATAAATATTTGATTTCCTCAAATAATTCCTAGCTAACTTTAGGCATTTCCCGTAAATGTTTCACTAAAGATGAAACTTATTTTCAACTTTACCTTGTCAGATCTATGAGAAAGGTTACATAAAAACAAGCTATATGTACAGATATACGCAATGTATCATGACACGTTTATATGCTGAGTTATGAGTAATTTTAACGAGTCTTTTTATGAGAAAAATGCACTTGAGCAATGAATTTACTCTGGCAGCTCATTAAAGCATTAAATAACAAGAGTATCACAAATTACGCAATTATAGAAATTCCCAGGTCGTAATTGTGATTTAGGTTTATATAATTTGTGACGTGTCTCAGAAAAATATGGCAGGCCACATTTGCCTGCGTTTTTTTGCCGTTACTTTTTGCCAGAATACGGCATATTTTTTTTTTGCGAATATTTCACGTGTAAGCGCGCGTGTACGTCCGCGAAAGAAAGTTTCTTCTTCCAGGGAAACTGTAACAAAAGTTGTATCAAACGGATGAATTTCGTTATCTCCAACTTTATGGCTACTTTGGTTGTATCGATTCAATTTTACATAATGGATTGCATAAAGTATAGAAAGTGTTTGGTTACAATGGCGTGGGGATTTGTACCGCATTTCGCATTTGTACTATAAAGAATGGTACTTCAAGGATGCGCGACGCATGATATTGCCGATATATCACACGGGCGAGCACAGATGTCCCGTGCGTAATATCAATAATATCGAGAGGAAACGCAAGCGCTGCGAAACGGAAGCATTTTGTCAAGCAAATAGCCGCCCGTTTAATGTCTCGATGTACAGAAATACTGATCTCGGAATTTAAGAGCGGAGTACGCGGCCGAATCTCACGAAATTTCTAGGATGACGGACAGGTGAATTACATTTTGGTAAATTTCCTTCGAGTTCTCTTTTCATAAAGAAATAAAATCTGTACTAAATACCGCCTTATACATTCCTACAGTTCACTAAGCCTTTATTAACGTATCCCACAGCTACTTAAAAATGTTTAAGTGTCCTTGAAAGATCCATTGTTCTCAATACTTCTGAAATAATTGTGTTAACTACTAACACCGTTCGAAATATTAGCGAATAATTACGATACCATTTGAACTTTTATGAAATTCTTATTGTACCTCTCGGTCTTACTAAAAAAAAAATGAACAACGGTGCAAAAGCGTGCTAAGGTTCTCGGTAAAAGAATCTTTAGACCGTCGATTTTTATTTTGCATTCTAACGGGAGTAGGTAGTTCACGGCACGTTCGCGGAAGGTGCAATCTATTACAAGTGCTATTTTATGGCGAGCGTGCATAATATACATGGCTTAGATCGATACAGCTTTTCGATCGGTTGTGTATAAACAGAGTTAATGACACATGCCACGTAATGTTAAAGCCGCCTGCAACGTCGCGAGCGCGGGCGCGGGCAGTCGCTAATGCTCATGACACAATAACGATCCGCTTGTCGATCCGCTGTAAAACTGTCACGATCGATCAACACGCACGTCGACAACATAAATTTAGGTTTTTCGTTGAACGATGTAACGGGCCGCGGAACAAATCGCTCCTGAAATTGATGTTTTCTACGATTCCACGTTTCCCAGCGAGAACAGCCATTAATTGAGATAATTTATCACGCAGATGGCGACCCGATAAAGCTTCCCGAAAATCTGGAAACCTTGCCGCGAGCTGAACACTTTCCAACTCAGAGGCACCGATGGAACACCAACGAGGTAAGCCGTTCGCTTATTCGTTAAACGCGAATATTAAATTCATGGGTCAATGGAAAACACACGTGTAACCTAAATATTCAAAGATCTGTCGATGCCATATTTGTCGATTGCACGACACCGTGTTAATGTCACGCTTTCGCAATTGCATTTCGCATGCTGCACAAATCGATATCAACTAAACAACTAAATGTTTATTATACGAACCGAAACCGTAAAATAACACTTTAATTGGGTATTTTTAGACAGTAAAGTGTTGAGAATGTATCATTTAAAAACATATTTTATGTCGTATATTAAATATACACATTTTAATTTAACTCACAAATAGATTTGATATCGCCAGTAAGTTTAAAACCAATGATGTGTAGTTTTTTAAAACGACCTACCCTCACCAATGTTTTTATTTGAAAAGACGACATTTCGGCCCCGGATTTGGACCCTTTTCAAGTAATCTGTTCATTGTTCACACAATTGTTAACGACCTCATATCGTTCGTTTGGCCAATATCGTTATGTTAGTAAGATATTAGTAAAAAAAATGATTCCACTCTTTGGCTGAAGAGTGCAAAGTCAATTGAAGTTGCATTGTTAATTGTTAAACACAAGTAAAAGTACAACTTTAATTGACACTCTTCAACCAAAGAGTGCAATCATTTTTTAACCAATAATCTTTCTAACATAACGACATTGGCCAAACGAACGATATGAGATCATTAACAATTGTGTGAATAGATTACTTGAAAAGCGTCCAAATCTGGGAAACGTCGTTTTTTTTAAAATAAAAACATTGGCCAGTGTAGATCGTTTAAAAAAAAAACTACATATCATTTATCTTAATTTCAGTTACGTTACATTATTTCGAAAGAAATCATTTGTTTATCGCGAACACATTTTTTCCGTTTGGTACCGAAACGTTCACTCTTACATCGGATGTTAAAATATTAACGCAAACTATCTGCTAATCTGGGCTATCGCCATATAGTAATTCGGACCGTGTAATATGCCTGGAATTTAACGACGAACTGCATTTTGGAATGAAACGGGGCCAAAGTATCAAGTACCAAATGCGTCTTACGTATGGATGCACTCGCATTCTGGCTCTCGGAGCGCATCCCTCTTTGCGGCGGTCGCGTGCCCGGCCGCGAATTCTGGCGCTCGAGGACCCGATCCGGTATTACCGGAATTCCGATGGACCATTCCGCGCGTCCTCCCTTTTTTCCCCGGCGTAAATTTTATCGCGGCCTCACCGAGGCCAGAGCGGATGTATATATTTACACAAGACTACGGGAGTAAAGTGGGAAGGTAAATAACGCGCGCTCGTTCATGTTGGTTCGCGGCGCGGTTAAGGAGAATAGATGCGGCCAATGCAGCCTTCGCGCTTGTGTGCAACGTACGGAGTCGACGTTAAGGGCGAAGCTGCTCGAATGGTCCTGGTGAAAATTTTAGGGGCGGCAAATTCCGTGCTTAACTTATGACGCACCTCAATATTAATGATGGATCCTTTGATATACTTAGAGTCGACTCTGTAAGCAGAGCGTCGAAGCACTGATCATTTTGATCAGTTGCAAATGACGTAAAGGGAGGAGAGCTTCGTTCAACTTAATTTTATAACGTGTATGTGTTTTATAGCGTGTGTACGTGTGTGTATGGGATATAAATAATCAAGTATTCTCAAAGAGTATTATTTTGTTCCAAGTATTTTTCTATTTTTACGAAGGTAGCGTCGATTAGTAATATTTGAAAGGGGGAGAGAGAGAGAGAGAGTCGTTTTTGATTGATATATAATTTGTTCATTTCTGAATTATTTTCTTACGCTTTACTACCTTTACTGCTCTAACGAAATACAAGTCGGTCGCATTGATTCCCAAAATTTTATCGGGCGGCCTAAAGTATCGGCGAGGACACGGTGGGGGCGTGCTGTTTCAGCGCTTCGCCTGAGGAGGTGAAATTCCTGGTCACGACCCTGGCGGTGTCGGTGTGTGCAACGGCGCGGCTCCACGCCGGTGTGTGCAGCGCGTCGGCAAGGGTGCACGTACCCACACTCGTGTGCGCTGCACACGTAGACCGGCTTGCACCGATGCAGTCCACACCGCTACACTCTGACCCAGGTCGGTCGGCCTGCGATCAATAGCTGGAGCCAGCGAGAGCTCGCAGCCGGCGGCGCTGAGCTTTTCAGTATCGCCGAACGAAACTCAATTGCGATCCCTGTGTGCGCGACGACTATCATTGTAAACGATAAGTCGGCCGTCCCTCTTTTGCCCCCGTTACCGACCCACCACACGCTCGTTATCTTTCCGAATGGCCCTCCCCCCCCGGTAAGTACCGGAAATTAAAAGTTCCTGGAGGGAGGAGAGTGTCGTCGACACCGCATTCCCGAGGAGTCCTCAGGCTGACGAAGAGAGAGGTGCCTCTCTTTATCCTCTCTCCCGCCTCATCTACAGTCGCGCGCTGTCTCACGCGTCTCTATCGGTCTCCGCTGTTTCTTCCGCAATTCTATTTTTGCCTTCGTTGCAGTCGTCTACCTCCTAAGCGACGAAAATTGGCTCCTTATCGGACGAATCTATTAAATTTCGTATCGTCGCTGCAGCAATTTCGCCCTTATTTCGACTTCAGCCCCCGTCGTTGCAACACTTGATCAACTCGACAGATTGGCAGCATCGATTTTATAATGGTGAAGGCGCCGTGTTAGGTATCGAGAAGATATAATAAATGATATTCAAACGCGCCGACGGACGTGGCACCATGTGCATCGTTAATGAGGCCAGCGGAGGCAGAAGGGCCGAATACGTATTGTGTCACGGTGCTCGCCTTATCCGGTACCTGTATTATCAAGTCCTTGGGGTCCCCAAACATTCCCCTGAACATTATCGATTGCGCGAGCCAACAAATTTGAGCTTTGTTCAAGAACTGGAATCACGCAAAGTGATTTATACCAATGTTGATACGCTCCCTGGAAATAGAACTGACAACTTCTTCCCCGGTCGGCTATATTTATAATCATCGATTAGATAGTTTATGTGAAAGCATGCCAATTTTACAGACTAACACTCCCAGAGAAATAATAAAATTTCTTTTTCTTTTCGCGGATACCATTCAGCGATAGCATCTATCTTCTTCAAGTTTCGGAGTTGTTTGAACGTTTTTATTTCTATCGCCAATCGCGGTTTCGTGTAAAGAGAGCCTCCGCGTATATAGAGACCATTTTCTTTCTCTCTATCCAACTTCTGTTGAATTTCGTGCAAACAAGACTTCGATGTGTGCAAAATTCAAATCTTTTTATCTATTCAACTTCTGTCTAATTTATAAATAATTTTTCGTCCATGCTTCCAGATTGTACTTGAAAAGGGCCCGATAAAGGGCTCGAAACGTCGTGACTAAAATAAACGTCAATTTTGCCGGTTTGGTCGATTGTTTTTTTAAGAATTCCCCTTGGTTTATAAATAATCTTTTTATTTCCTTCATGCTTCTGTCACTTTTATTTACGTAACTTAACATCTCGTCGACGATGCAGACCTGCGTTGGGCGTAACGTTGTCGCACGTTACTCCTAGAAGAAAAGATATATCCGTTCATCCAACATCGGAAGCTCTCATTTTTTTCCCCCACTCGCCTAGATTCGCGCGTTAAATCCGACGCGGCGCGAGTTCAATCTTATTTACATTTGTCAACGTCCCGGCAGCGTTATTCCGCTGCACCCCGGGATTTATGAAGCCACTCAGCCCGGTCGATTCATTTTGCGCGCTACCGACTCGAGCCGCGAGGAAGAAGTTCGCGGACAGGTAACGGAGTAAATTTTCACGGTCCTGGAAAGTTTATAAATCCCTTGTGCATACCGCCGCGCGGGCGAAATCCCGTAGCTTCTAGGCGAAATCCTCCTTCAACGTGATCTTGTTTTCTCGGGCGGCTTCCTTCTGTAACGCGCTCTCGCCAGTTTCTTCTCTCCGTCGCGTCGCTCGTCGCTGCTGCCATTTTTCACGCGAGTTCCGACGGCATACGTGATCGTAAGTGGATCTTGCACCTTCTCGTGAGCCGAGGCTTCTCGGTGAGCCGCCCGCAATCAGAAACGTTCCAAGGATGTCGCCGATGTCAGTGATTTATTATTTCATTTGTCGCGCGCTTATTGTAACGCGCGTTCGCTACTCGCTCGAAATCGTTCGAAATCACTTTCAACGCGAGCACAAAGATCGCGGGAATTGAAGCACCGGCTGCAAGTAACTCAAGGTTACTTCTACACGCACGTTTTACGATTTGTTTGCCGTGCTTATCTCGACTGGCGCAGCCATTAAACGCAACAGACGAATGCCGGCTGTGCATCTCTATTCTATTGTACTATAACAATAATTCCGTGTAATAAAATTTTTAATTGCGATATCTTCTACGTAAAATCTGCACAATCAATAATATTTTAAGGCCACTTGAAGTTTAAGTATTTCGTGACTCTCAAACTTTCGACGGAAACGTATGTTTTTGCAATAAATAGAAATTGTATTTTTGGTTATTCCCCTCGTAGGAAATTCCGCGCTGCATGGAATATTCTGTTCAGTTTTTTTTTCCATTTGACGCTAATAATTTTCAAGATTTCTTACGTGGCTCTCCGTTCTTATTACCTTCGCCTGATGAAATCCCATTTGTACCGAAACAGGGCAATGCCGACTGCATACGTAGGAGGGGTATTACTGTAATAAGTTTAGCACATACCTACAGGCGAGCACATTTTGCACTTTTAGCATTCGTAATGTGCCTTAATGGCACTGATTTATTAAATAATCTCCTACTGCAGTGTTAAAGGAGGATACCTGGATAAGAAGTCTCCTACTTTACCTAATTTACTATTCTAATTTAACGCTACAAATACTTCTGCGCTAATTGTAGCCGCACATAAATTTTCGAAGCTTTGTTAAGCCTCCCCCTAGAAGATATCTACGAAGATAATAAATTCATGAATGTATAATTCTTATTAAGTTGGTGGATATAAGTTAAGAGAGCGTTAAACACTCAGCTT